TGACCATCCGCTTTCGGTGTGACTCCTGTGCTTAGCTACGTTCATAGCTTCCGAAGGCTCCGTTCGTAGCGATGCGACTCCTGTGCTTAGCTTGAGTTCAACAACTCACAGAGTCACAGAGTCCCACTCGCTCACCCGCAACAAGGTCTACAGACTGCGACGGCAGTGCAATATGCCATGATGCAAAGGATGGGACGGCTTGCCGGACGGCACGCCGTCTTTGTCATCGAGTTCTGCTGGGAAATTGACCGAACCCAAACAGAGAGCTTCGAACCTATAGACATGACTTTCTGAGATCAGACTGCGGACTCGATCGGGTTTCTCAGTTGGGGTGATTCTAGGGTGAGATTTTTTCGGTGGCTGATTCTGGGAGAAGACACCCATTGATCCCACTAGTATAGGGTCTTTCTTTGTGACCTGGGTGTCAACCTGTTCACCAAAACTCGTTGGTTTGTGCTCGGCCGAAGTGCTCGTAAGGTAGTTTTTCGAGTCTTGGACTAACGTCCTCGTTTGTTGGTGGCAAAATGTGGGCCTGCAAACATGCTAGCCACATGACTTTCTCAGAGAGAATGCACGGACAAAGATAGAAAGGAGTTGGGTGAGACGTCGCGTGCAAAAAAAAGGACATGCCCATTCCTCTTGTTGTTGGAGGTTACTGGATATTTGTCATCCAAGTCCGCAAAGAGGACACGACTTATTATGGAAGAATCCCAAGCATTGGACAGTTTAATCCATATTAGGCCTGGACCTGAGGAGGATCACAAAAAGACAATAGAATCTGGAACATTCCACTGCCTAGGCAGTTGACATGTTTCAGATTCTATGTGCAAACACAAGAGTTTTCTCTTTCTTCTCCTTCTCTCCACCCTCAGGAGCTTCTGGGACGCTGAGCTGCGGCAGGTGCTCCGTGCCAGGGCGGCCACGACCACCTGCCATGTGGGGGACACCCAGTGGATTCCTTCATCTGGGGATCCGGGTTTTTCGAATCGCGCAAAAGCAGTGGGTTGGTGAAGAGAGAGAGAGAGAGAGAGAGTGGCAGGTGCAAAAGAAGTGAATTTTCTCAGGGCCCAAAATGTTCGAACGGATTTTAGGGTGGACTTCAGGTGGTCAAGGTACTTGGCGCAAGCTTCTGGACCCTTGGTGAGCCAAGCTGATGTGGGAGAACATCTGTTTGTTGCAGAACTCTATCGGTTGCAATGTCGGCTACACCAGCAATGTCGGCTGGCAGTTTCGTGACCTTTTGATGATCCTCAGGGTCTCATGTTCATTTCGACAGGTGGAATCGTCTCTGGGAGGGAGCTTTTGCCCCTCAACCAGGAACTCCTTTGTCCAAGTCTAAGCGTACGTAATTGTCGTGATGATAAATCGAGCTCGTCTAAGTGTAATGGTCATGGTGATAACACCAGCAAACTCGGCATCCTGAACTGCGGTGGAAGTCCAGGTGCAAGCTGCAGCTTTGGTGCTATTGACTCTTGACCTACTCTACGTACCCGTTATTTCCATCAAGCTCGTACCCGTTACACCGACCTCTACGCCAGGCAAAGCATGCACGACGAACCCGACCGGGTCGACCGGTCGACCGTTCCGTTCCGGTGGGTTTCGCGTTCTTTCTCGGCCATGGTGGGGGAGTGTCTGCCTCGGAGGAATCAACAATTCACTACATCGCTAGGATGAGAACATGTAAGTAATTGGGGTGGGGATGCCAGCAGTGTTTTTGGGGTGGGGATGCCAGTGACGACAGCCAACATGAAAGCTCCAAATTTGAGTGTGTGGTGTGCCTCGAATTTGCAGGATGACAGCCGATTGGAGTTTCTGCTCAGGACGGGGATGAGGGGATCGGACGGGCTTTGGAGATGGGCTTTGGCTCGCTTCGGTTTTGGACTAAGAAAGGCATGAAGCCCGTACAGGGCGGCTGATAGGAGGTGGACTTGGTATAGGCAGATCAAGGGAAGGTGGGTTTGGTGATTTTTCTGGCAGGCGACTTGAAAGTAGACAATGAGGCAACTTTCATGAAGTTCAGGATGATGAAGTTGTTTGTTCGACTTGGAAGCTCAAGGACCGTGCACTACAAAACAGCGGCAAATCATGCGCAGATCAAAGTTGTTTGGGCACGGAAAACATATCCATTTGTTAAAAGCGCAGTCTCGCAGATTGAAAAAAGAGCACAAGCCTGGCTGGCTATTTTGATGTAATAGTATAGTATACACACACAACATATATAATATTTTTGTGGTTTTCCTTGATTTGCAACCATCAATCCATATTTCTCCCTGGCTTCTTCATTTACATCCCTGTCTGTGTCGCCTTGGTTTTGATCATGGCTCAACGCTTTTGAACTCCAAGTGATGCAGGTTACGGCTTTATCTGGCACAACAGTTGCTCAACTTGATGAGGAACAGTTGCATTGCATGGTGGAAAGTGGGAAAGCTGTTCGGGACCTAAAGCAGCTCCTTTCAGCTGAGGTTGGGTGCTCAAGGTTTCGGCAAAGGCTCTTCAGTGACGGAATCGGAGAACTGCCGGATGACATGCCTTTACGATCATTACCAAGTATTCAGCTTGTAGTCCTGCCGTTTTGTGCTTTCGATGAGGCTGCAGAGGAAGAACTACGTCGCAACTGCAAAGACAATAATGCCATGGCGATTGAACGGCTGCTTCAGGCTCCGCAAGAACCGAATGGAGGAGGTTTGTTTCTAGCGGTCGAGGAAGGCCACTTGGAAGCAGTGCGTTTGTTGCTGGAGGCCGGAGCTGACAAAGATGCAGCAAGGATAGATGGGGCAACTGGTTTGATCATTGCAGCCCAGGACGGACACTTGGAAGTTGTGCGAATTTTGCTCGAGGCTGGAGCTGACAAAGATTCAGCAATGACATATGGGACAACGGCTTTGTTTATTGCAGCCCAGAATGGTCACTTGGAAGTTGTGCGATTGTTGCTGGAGGCTAGAGCTGACAAGGATGCAGTAAAAGCAAATGGGGCAACGGCTTTGTTTATTGCAGCCGAGATGGGCCACCTGGAAGTTGTTCAATTGTTGCTCTATGCTGGAGCAGACAACGATGCTGGAACGACTTATGGTGCAACTGCTTTGTTTAGAGCAGCCCAGTTTGGCCACTTGCAAGTTGTGCGACTGTTGCTCGAGGCAAAAGCCAACAAAGATGCAGCAAGGAATGATGGGGCAACAGCTTTCATCATTGCAGCCCAGAATGGCCACTTGGAAATTGTGAGATTGTTGCTCTATGCTGGAGCTGACAAAGATGCAGAAAAGAAAGACGGCGAAACGGCTTTGTCAATTGCAGCTCTGAATGGCAAGTTGGAGGTGGTGCGTGTGTTGCTCCAGGCTGCAGCTGACAAAGATTCAGCAAGGACGCATCAGGTACGGGCTTTGTTTATTGCGGCCGAGAAAGGCCGCTTGGAAGTTGTGCGATTGTTGCTTGGCGCTGGAGCTGACAAAGATTCAAGGATACTTGGGGGGACAACAGCCTTGTTTATTGCAGCCCAGAACGGACACTTGGAAGTTGTGCGGTTGTTGCTGGAGGCTGGAGCTGACACAGATGCTGCCGAGATATATGGGGAAACGGCTTTGTTTATTGCAGCTCAGATCGGCCACTTGCAAGTTGTGCGCTTGTTGCTTGAGGCTCAAGCCAACAAAGATGCAGCAAGGATAGATGGGGTCACGGCAGTGTTTGTTGCAGCGCAGAATGGCCACTTGGAGGTTGTGCGTTTGTTGCTCGAGGCTGGAGCTAACAAAGATGTAGTAAGGAGACATGGGGCAACAGCTTTGTTCATTGCAGCCCAGAATGGCCACTTGAAAGTTGTGCGGTTGTTGCTGGAGGCTGGAGCTGACAAAGATGCAGCAACAACAGATGGGACAACGGCCTTGCAAATTGCAAGCCAGAACGGCCACATGGAAGTTCAAGAGCTGTTGCTCCCGGGTGGCTTTTGACCGCCAATTCTTGAGCGAGAACTTGGTCGATCCAAGTTGCATCACGAACAACACGTGGCATGGACGCGGTTGGACCCCAAAAGGAAAGGACTTGTATTGACCCAGGCCCTGTGATCTGAAATGGTAGAGGGTGGTCCCATATGATCCTCTCTGAAGCGGGAACCCTGACGCTTCAGAGAGAGATGGTGTATTTTTCTGGTTTCGGGAAGCAGAGACTGTGCACTAGCTGACGAGTCCGGAACCTGTGCCCATTGGTGGGATTTCTTTCACTAGGCTCAAGACCTCACGCTCCTGCCTTTATCACCCCAGCCCCAGCCCATGGTTGCCTGTTGCCCTTGCCACCCCGTGCGGAAAACCGGGTCGCCCGCCCTGCGATGCCATGCGCCATGCCATGCGCCATGCCATGCGCCAGGAATCGTGATCGAGCTGAAGTGGACTGGGATCATTGGGATCACCTTTCACAGGTGGAACCGGGGCAACCGTGGCCGGAACGGTCGGGCCACCGGGCCTTGGAAGGGGAGAAATTGAGCGTTCCACCGAGTTTGAGCCAGCACAGGTTTTGCAAAGTGAACCTTTCAAGAACGGGTTGATCCTTACGGATGGCTCAGCCTTACTTTGATTGGAAGATTGGAGAATCCAGAGGTTCAAGTGATTCAAGTGTGAAGGTGCTTCACACCTTAGAATGATCAGGAAATGACTGACGCGCTATCTTCATCGAATTGGAGTCGTTAGGTATTTTGTGTATTGTGAACCCATGAAGTTGCTTTCCAATGAATCTATCTCCATATCGAAAGGGCTCCTAAAGTTTGGAGAATTTGGATGGGACTGGACCGTAGTCCATGATTCAACTCTTATCAACGCTATTTGTTGCAGCTGGACATCCTGCGTTTGTTCATTTTCAGCATCTGGAGAAGTCCACCAGTCAGTGGATCCGCGCTCGAGCGGCTCCGTCGAGCTGTGTAATAGCAGCATCAACACCTTCTGGTCAGTGTGCGAATGCATTCAGTGGAATCAAAACAACTCTGGGATCCCCAGGTTCTGTTAGGACAACTGGGCAAGGACTCCTTTCATAGCCGCACGACTGGCCGTGGTCTCGTGGAACCTTCCACTTTGGGCTCGAGAAGGCCTGGCTGGAGACCATGTGGGAAGATGAATGCGCTATTGAAAGACTCAGCTCTCATCGAAGCAGCTTGCTCATTCACCACGTCCAGATTTTCATCAACACTCTCCAGACAGCTCCTGCTCTCAGATTTGAGTTCCAAGCCGTGAAGAAAAAATACAACACCGACACGCGCCGTTCTGCCCGCGCCATGAAGCCCACCACGCCCGTTCCGCCCGCGCCGAAGCGCCCGTTCCGCCCCGTGGCGTCGCCGGCGCGGAAGTCCGCGCGACCGCCGAGACCGGCGCCGAGACCGGCGGCGAGGCCGGCGGCGAGGCCGGCGGCGAGGCCGCCGCGAGCGGTGCGGAAGGCTCGGAGCTTCCGGAAGGTGTCCACCGTGCGGCGGACGGCATTGAAGGCGTTGCAGATCTATGAGAAGTTGTAGCTCCGCCCCACATGACTCAAGTCGACTCGTGGGTTTGGTCGATGTTGGACTTTCTGAAGAGAAAAAAGAGCAGAGAGGGGGGGTGGTGAGAGCTTCAGAGCTGGACGACTTTCATGCATTTAAAAAGCTATCTTTTGTTCGTGGAGTGAGGAACTCACCACCTGTTTGGTGTTAACTCATGGTCACCCTTTCGGGGTGCCAATTCTTTGAGGAAGTGATCACTTCCAGGAGTCACAAGACGGGGTGGTTTTTAGTCCCATCCAGTGAGTGGATGTTCTGGGCACTCCTAACCTCCATGGATAGCACCCCGTCGAACGTGACTGCGGGTTCTCCATCTTTTTGGTGACTTGAAGATTGAGAAGGATTCTTCCTTTGGTCGCAACATCAACCGACTCTTCCCTTGCCCTATCTTCCGTGGCGGGCCCCAGCTCTTCCCAGTGTTTTTCGACCCATGTTGCCTGGAGGCAGCTGGAGAAGGCCATAACGACCATCTAGTTCAGACACATCCTAAACATTCCTAAACCATCCTGAGCGACCGTTCTCGTCGATCACCGGACCCGTCGTGCTGGGCTCGGGTCCACGATCCCCTTGGCGGTCCGGCACACCGGCGCCATCTGAGGCACCGGGAGTATGTGAAGGCCACGGAGTCGCAGGACTGTGCCGCTGTGCCGCTGTGCCGCTGTGGGGATGCGGAACGTGAATGACTGTGGGCTGTGGTTTTCTAAGCGATCAAAGGGGTGTCTTTTCGCCCCCCCAAAACGAGGGGATCACCCAGTTCGAGACCCCCCCAAACTCTGAGGATTGAAACGGTGTCCGAAATCTCAAGCTTGTCATCAAGTTGAAACTGCTTTGGGGAACGCGACGGCAGCGGGGGACGTTGCAAGGTTCACACTCCAAATCCGCCCATCGCGTTTGCGTTGGTGAATAGGTGGAGATTGGTTTGACATACCTCGCTGTAGATTTCAGCGGCCAATTCTGCATTTGGTCTCTAAAAGCCACTTGGACATAGGGAGATGTAGTAGGAAGTGATGAGGGTTGCCAGGTTGGCGCTTGGTTTCTGTTTTTGTGGCGTGGCACACATTTTCATCCCCTCACCACTGAAACGAGTTCGGAAGCCCCCAAGCAACCTCCTTTGAACGACCTTGTCTTTCTGGTGGTTTGGAATTATGGCATATTTATGGCGCAGACATCAGTGCCACGCTGGACAACAGCCACCGGCTTGGCAGGACTATGCCTTGGGGCGTGAACTCTGTGCCAGACACGCGCCCCAGCTCCAACGGATTCGACGCACGTGGACGTGGTCGTGCTCCAGTAGATTGGGACTGACCTTTTGGAAGGATCCTCACGTGGAAGCAACGAAGAGACTTGAGAGAAAGAGAAACAAAGGTAACGGTGTGTTCACGGTAACTGCATGGAACTATACTGGATTACTTTGGACCTGGAAGACTGTCCGACAGAGGAGAATGCTGGATTGGACGTATGACTTGGCACTTGGCGAAGTGTTGATTCCATTTCTCCTGCGCCTTCCAATGCATCATCACACAATGAAAGCATCTTTCCAGAAAAAACCTACCACGTGCTGGCCTGAAGGGATCGACCAGGCACGTTTGGGGGTGGACCGAAAAGCCTGAGAATGCACCGAAAAGCATTTGCACTGCCTGCCATGCCATCATACAAATCATATATCAAAGAATAAGAACCAATGGTGTCAGCAGTCATCGATTCAATGGTTTTCGCTCACATCTGAGGTCTCTAAGATCTATGGCGAGCTCCACTGCATGGCACTGGAGCTGCTATTGTCCTCCGGCCTCCAAAAGTACGTTTTAATGTTTTGAGCAGTCGTTTTGTAGTCTTTGCAGTGGAGATCTCTGCGTCTCAGCGTAGCGGGACGCCCAAAACGTTGAGACATACCCAAGTACAGTATATACTTGGAAGTCCAACGACGATTTTTGGCACCACATGGTCTTGAACTCCCAGGGTATATGTAACGATATCTACATGTCGTTCTTTCACGGACACTCCGGAACTCTTGGTATCTTCCTGCAACCCGCTGGTGCATGGGGTTGGGGGCCCACGTGCCGCGACCGAGAAACGGGCAAGACTCACAAGGAATTGCTTTACGCATCCTAAGTTCAAAATTCAATACCTTATACTCAGCAAGCAGGAAAACATCAGCAATAGTGTAGAATCTTGTCAGGAGGATGCTCTAACATAGGTTTTTGGTTTCCGCGAGTCCCTGTGTAGTCAAGTACAAGCTGCCGCTTCGACACGGTGATTGGGACTTTGATCCAACCACACCGTAGAATACCACATTCTTTGTCCAAGAACAACGAATCTAAGCTTGCTGGAAGAAACACATCGCTTCATGCCACTCTTTTCGGCTCCTTCGGCTCGTTCGGATCGTTTGGGTCGACAGGCACCGTCGTTTGGACCGGATGGGGCCGACCGGAGGTCTGTGGCAGAAGAAGACCAGACCTTGGGCGGGAAGCGGGTGCTCACCTTCAGGCGAGGCTCGACGGTCGTTGAAAAGCGAGCGCAAAACGAGGCCGTCCCGCCTGCCGCAGCCACCTCCGACAGAATCAAGGAATGCAACCCCCCTTTTTTTGGTGAATCCCTCTAGTCACAGAACAAGAAACGAGGATCACGCTGAGAAAGCTCCATCCACGAAATTGGTTGGTTCAGATCTGGCCTCCGATCTGCATTCGCCAGGGAATGGGTCCAGCACCCGCCGGGATCTAAAAAAGCAAGTAGGGATCAAAAAAAAACAAGACCAGGAAGAAGGAAAGAAGGAAAGAAGTAAGGGAAGAAAGAAGACACAACAGTGAAATGCTCTACGGCTCTACGTGGACATGTTGCACTTTGCTCTGTGTGGTGCTAGGATCCGGTTTTTATCCCTGGACACACCCATAACGCCATGGTTTTTTCGGCGCTGCGCCCTCCCCCCGCAACCCCCTCCAACCCCCTCCAGCGCAACAACATGTTAATCTATATATGTTTGTCATGAAATCAGGTTTTCAACACCCACCCTGTGCTGCTATCATGATCTTGTAGTCTACAACTGCAACATACTGCAATCAATATGTCAGAGAATCAACACGTGTGAGAGAGTACGTAGGGGTTCGGAGCAGCCAAGACGACAAACTGTGCCCGCTTACGAAGCCTGCTTGCTGTGACTGCGCCGCAGAGGTGGATGACATATCTGATGGACGATAGGGTGTCTAATGCTTGTATCTTGCCTCCTTGCCAAAGCCAAAGCACCGGGTTGATGATTATAGGGCCCACCTAGTGGCCCACCTATAGTCATGTCCAATGCTTTTATTTTGCTTCTTGGCCAACATAAAGTGTGCTTAACAAGAACAAAACAAACAACAAAAGCAGCAACAACAACAACAACTACTACAACTACTACTACTACTACGACGACCACCACCACCACCAGCAGGACTACTACAACCACATTTTCTAGCATAGGGTTTACTGCTACTATTGTTTAACTTTTCTGATTCTTCCATTCCTACTTTTGTTGACGCTGCCACTGCACACGGTACTGTTGTTTATTCGTGATCCGTTTTTGTCGTGTCTTTTGATCCTCGTTGTCCTTTGTTTGATTGCACCATCGCAAGGTTTTGTTTTGGAGGGGTATTTATATTGTGTTTTCGTTATTGCTTTTTTGTTTAGTGTTGTGTTTTTCTGTGCTTGTCTCGCTTTTCCTAGCTTTTCTGCTTTTCTTGCTGTCCTGCTTTTCTGTGCTTCTGTTGCTTTTCCTTCCTTCTCGCTGCTTCTCTGCTTTTCCTGCTTTTCTGTGCTTGTGTTGCTTCCCACAGCTTTTTGCATTTCCCGCTTTTCCTGCTTTTCTGTGCTTGTGTTTTCTTTGTGAATCTTCTTTCTTTCCTTTCTTTTGCTGCTTTTTGTGCCTTCTTTCTTGCTTGCTTTGTTTTTCCAGCTGTTTCTCCTGGTTGGCCTTTTTCCCTTCTTATCGTCTTTTTGTAGCGTAGTGTCTCTTTCGTAATCTTTCTATGATCAGCGAGGTTTACAAAGCGCTGCCAAGGTAACATTTAAAGAAGAAAAGGGACCATTCCAACATAGTACATCTTCTGTGAGCCACCCGAGGTTGGATGCTAAGGGCCAGCAGGCTTTTGCCATCTGACATAAGACCTAGATGTTAAGATCAGCGCTCCGTGCTTCCCAAAGTGCACTCGGAGGTTCACATAACGCTGCTCCCTCACCAGGAAATCTGCATTTCGAGCTATACCAGCAGCAAAAAACAACATCAAATAAGAAGAACAATTCAAGATCCAACATGAATTCTGGGACTTTTTGTTTTTGATCCTTATTAAATTTGTTTTTCTCTTGACACTTTCGTTTTTTGTTTGGATCCTTGTTTGTTTTTGGATCCCCCACCCTCTTGGCCTCCCGATCTGTGGAGAATCGCAATGTGACAACACGTGTCAAGCAGAGATCAAGCTCTGTCAACCAACGGGGAAATTCATCAAGTCCAACTCAAACTCGCCTTCGCATCTATCTAGTCCATGGACCGAGCGGAACGTGTCTTCGCCTTCGCAGCGCAGGGGGGAACCCAGCGACCGGCGGCGCACGTTGAGTGCGCGCCTGGCGTCCGCGCGGCAGAGCCGTTTAGAGGGAAAGCTTCGAGAGGCGCTCTGTACGAGCTTGGCGGTGCTGTGCTACTCGGTTTCTTTTATGACAGGTGGGTTTGGGTGGGTTTTGCTGGATAGAGGTGGGAGTTGGGGGAAGTCTCGAGTTTGAGGCTGGCCTGATTTGATCATTGGGACTCCGGAATACTTCGTTGAGCTTGGCACAAGAAACATCCACATGCCGGGAACATCGAAAACTGTGGAAGCAAAGTGGAGCTGAAGTGGAGTTTCCTGGAAAGAGACTTGTATTTTGGAACCTCCAAAACTCCAACAATACCTTGAACATCTTTGAACAGCTTCATGAGGTGTATCACATGTTTAGGCAGGTGTAGAACGGTGTAGAACCCACTCAGCCAGTCGAATCAGTGTTCGGTGGAGGCACCTAGACAATCAGAACATCTCAGAACGGTTTTCAGCAGACATTCGGTGGGATGCCATGCATGGAATTCTATTTCCTCCTCTCTGATCTGTCCTTTCGAGCACTGGATGGCAATCTTGAGAAGTTAGACATGAACAAGAACTCACCATTCAGTGTTGAATGGTGACCCACTTGCTGGAGATGCCTATCCACTTGGTCCACGTTAGCTTTGGCTACTTGCGAGACAAATCCCGGATGAGTTTCTCCCAAGTGCGCTTCCGATCACTCTTCTCCGATGGGACGTAGCTCCACGGGGACCCGGGACATCCTGGTTTGGCCAAACCCGCTCGCGTTGGCCGTCTCCAGTCTCGCATTTGTCGGCCGCGTGAAGGTTGCCGCGTGAAGAAGAATTGGTTGGCCGCCTACGACGACGAGGTATGCTAAGGGACCCGCGTCGTGCGCATCAGTCAGCGCAGGAGGAGGGGAGCGATGCTGAGGGCCGCTGGTTAGATCTCTTAAGAGTCAAAGTGTTGCTACGGGTCTCAACTTGGTCAGGGTAGCTACGGCTTCCCTGTAACATAACCTCAACATCCTACACCCTTCTGAGCAGGCGAGGGAAAATAAAAGGAATACAACACCAGCCTATTGTGACAGGTGTCCCTCAACTCCAAAACGGCCTTGTTCAGGTCCACCGAACCAAGCCGCACATCCCGAACCAACCCGTTCCCATCGGCCGCCGTCGCAGATCCCGGTGCGCGGCTACTTCTGCCATGCCTTGGTGGATCCGTCGGCCACCTTCCGGGTCGCGCTGAAGGCTCGACCGCTGCGTTGCTCTGCTGCAAAGATAAAGGACTGCTGCGGTGAAGTAACCAGGAAGGTTTCATGGTCATAGGGACTCTTAGCAAAGATTATGACAGGAAATGCCCTTGGGAACCAAGACATTGATGGGATCATTTTCCCTGTCATTCCTTGCGATCTGCTTGGTGAAGGGTGACCAAACGCCTGCAGTGCACCACTCCTTCCGCGGCGTCCGGTACGCCCAAGGTTTGGCGTCGCTCTTGGTGACCACCGAAGCACCACTGGGAAAAGCCTTAAGCGCCATGGACCATGGAGGGCCCTTCCCACAGGCGACCACCCGCGCGTCTGGACGTTGACGGACCCGGGTGACCCTTGTACGTCGAGCCTTGAATCGTTGATTTTTGTTTGGCAAGATCATTGCCAGTGGCAGCTTAACATCAAGCAAGCTTTCATCCTTGAAACACTTTGATTGTCGTCGTAACTTTGGTTCAGCATTCCATGGGTCACTGATCTGTGGCCATGGCTGACTTCCTCTATGTGCCACAACCCGGAGTGCGGCAGCTTCTCCAAGTTTAACCATTTCGGGTTGTGCCAGCTGCCTTGATTCACGACAAGCACGAGATTGTTGTTCGTGGGTTTTCTCTGGGGGTTGCAGGCCACGACATTCAGCGACTTTAGGCCTACACGGGGATGTGTAAGCATTTATATAAGTTTTTGCGGTTTCGCAAGATGGTACTATCACAATATCCATTCCATTACTGTGTATGTATATATATATATATATATCAGTTTAATTATTCTTGTCTGTTGAATGGCAACAGCAGAGGTCATCTGCCCGTAGTTCATGGGTACACTATTGCCATACACGCCCCCAATCCATGTAAGCGGTATCGACAAAGTCTGGCAGGAATTGCGATTCGAGAGAATTACTTCTATTGGGTGTTTGGCTTGAGCAGCTGTTGCTCAGCTTGGCTGACCATGCTCATTCACCATGGTGGACACGACATGGAGTGGATCAGGAGTCTGCTTGTTTGACCAGTATATGGTGTTTATGGAACCTGTTTTTTGAGCCTAGACGTATCCTTTGTCCATCGAAGATGGAAGGATTTTGGCACCAGGTGGCATCCCCTATATCTCGAAAAGCTCAAAGGATAACTTCGACCGGCTCAGTACGAAGCACAAGCACCTTCATGCTAACCGGGTGCCTTCGGCTAGTGGTCTCCTTGAGCAGAAATGCAGTGATTAAACTAAAGAAGGGTGCCACCTGATACCCAGCATACTCCGTACTCCAATGTTTAAACTATTTTTTGTTTTCCAAAAACCTCATGCTGCTTGGCATGAAGTCGGAGCTATGGCGATGGGCGACCAAGAACGGGTTCAGACACGCGGTCTTGACCACGCGGTCTGGCCGACCGAGGTCCACGCTGTTCCCCTTCGTCCGCAAATGGACTTCCCAAAAGGAACCCAGGCCAATGATAGCCGATGTAGCGATGTAGTGTAGATCCTTGAAGTCCGCGTCTCCACTTGCAGAGTGACAAACTTGGCTATGAGTGGATCCATCCCAAGAAGTCCAGATGTTCGTCCGAGCACGCCATCCGGGTAGCCAGACTCTGCAGCACTACACTCGCCCCTTCGCACATCTCCCTCCACTCTGCGGCAGCGTCATACTCCTCTCTTCCTCTCAATGATTTCAGTTTGCTGGTGAAGCGCGATCCTTCCAGTTTGCCCCGAGATATATCGGGATCAGGAGACCCGACCGTCGAATGAAGCTCGTCCGCGGCGCCGAGATGAAGCGCGATCGCAGGGCCACGAGAAGGAACCTTTGGGCGATCGACAGTATGGCCTGTCAGAGACCTATGGGATGGGACCGAAAACGCAAAGGATGGCAACGGTCAATGGGTCAATATAGATGTCAAGAGTCTTGCTGGAGCATGAAGAGGCTTGTCACGGCTTGTCTATTCAGGGGTGTTCAGTTCAAGGTCCGTGTACATTTTTTTTTGTCTGGGAGGCCAAACTCGGACACCCTACATCAAAGCCTAGGGCCCAGCCAGCATGATGGAGTTCCAGGCAGTCTCATTATTCTGCACAAGACCATGATCCCTCCAAGTCTTTCCAGGCAGTTACTATTGTCCCTGCCACATTCTCACGTCGCCCCTCCCCTGTTCGGTGGTCATCCTCCATGCTCGGTGGGCCCTGGCCGCCTTAGGCAGCGCGTTTGCGCGGAGGGCTACGGCGAGGAAGAGAAGGAACGGCTCATGGACGTGCAGCCGGAGGCCGGGACGCACGGGAGACAGCGCCCCAACGTGAGAGACGCGGCTCGAAGACGGTTGGGATTTAGGAGGTCAAGATGGGTTCACTCCAAGATGAGTTGGATTCACTTTTGGTAATCAAGATGAGTTCACTCCAACTAAGCCATGTCATGAAAGTTACTTGTTTTTGATTCGGCCGGTGAAGGCTTCGACGACTTTGAGTAGATTTTCACTGGGATTCCGCCAACAATAGAGATGCGTGTGTGAGCCGAATCCGGTTTCCGACCAGGACAAGCATGTTATCCTGTCAGCTTGAACTGTGCGCATCCCCCACCAGGAACATGCATTATAGGGCTACTGTATAGACTCTTTCTAGGAAGTCATGGAGGAGGACAGATATATTTGACATATTGGTGCATATTGTATCTTTGAGACTTCTTCTAGCCTCTTCCACTTGTACAGGTCGGCACCTATGAGGCTTCAACCTCCAAGCCCCCATACTGCGGAGTTCTCTTTTTTCCGTGTTCTGTCGATGGCCCCGCCCTTCAACTCCGCGCCGTGCAGGCGGAGTTGCGACGCTTGATGGGTTCTAAGGATCTGGTCTTGGTGCTGGAGATCTACTGCGCGCTGGCGCCCAAGGCGGGTCGGATGTCCAACGTGTCTCACGCGGTTAGACTAGCGTCCGGCCACCGGCCCACACACACGACGGGGGGGGAAGCTGCCTTTTTCCCGGGGCTATCGATCGGACTGGTGGGTTTGTGGCAAAAGGTGCCGAGTTCTTTCCACCCTCCAAGTTTCAACCCAAGCAACTGCTAGTCATGGATTTGCAGTTGGCTTTGCAGTGCTGGAACTCAGTGCGCGAAGCCCGAGGACCCGAGGAGAACTGTTGTGAACTGCAGTGGTCTGTCGGGTGGTGTTGTGCGTGTGAGTCATCTCTTGATCCGATGTCCTCGTGATTCTCCAAGAGAGTGGATGACGACAATTCGCAAAATAAGCTGCTGATCAGCAGAGAAGAGGATGAGAGGATGTGCGTCCTTACGTTTCCCATTATCCTAGAAACCTTCGCTTGAGGTCTCATCCACCACATCTCACTTGTCTGGGAGTGATGGACTGCTGGGTTCACTGAGAAGCCCTCTCGACGAACTCGTTTTTCTTCCCACAGACTTCAAGCCTCACCACTTTGGTCGAAGCGTTCGAAGCGTTGGAATCGACCCGGCCTTGTTACCTCTCACCACCTCGAGATATACTGACGTGTAGATCCGGAGCCCGGTGGTTCTTGCGAGGATCGCGTGGACCGGCACTCCTTGGGGCAGATCATCAAGGAGGAGCTCCAGACGTTGTTGTCGGAGTCGAAGAAGCGAGGCGCGAACCCAGCGGGCGGAAGCCGGGCTGCACGAGATGAGAGTGACAACAGTGAAAAAAATGACCACAAGATGGAGTCTCAGTGTCGGTTTGTTGTCTTTTTTAGGGCTCGAACCCAGGGCTCGAGCGATGCATTTCTAAGCATTTCTACATATTCCTACCAGATCCATTTGACAGAGGTCAGACCGCCTATATAATTCATTCATCTTCATTCGATCTACTTACTACTCGTATTTTATGTTATTTTTGTTGTATTTTATTCATGAGGTTCAAATGCTTTATGCAATCATAGGGATGCATCGCATGACTCTTTTTCGTTCTTGATGTTTGTTCATCCCGCTAGGGCGGGCTCGAGCACTTCGAGAGCTGAAGGAAAGAGAGCGACGCGTGCGCGGGGTTGACCTTTGGATAGGTATTCGATGGTATTTGTGCATGGTCGGAGCGGCTGATCGCTCTTTGAGCGGCTACGGCGGCTTCTTGGTGGCGCATGCCCTCTGAGGATGTCCCACCATGCGACCCGGGGAGCCTTGAGAGCTTCGCTGGGAATCCTTTGCAGAAGTGGCCGGTACCTGACACCTTCGACTGGACGAGTGGTCGAGCTTCAGGAGGAGCACAGGCGAATCAATCCCACAGGTTTTACTTCGGAGAAGAACAACTTTTGGTTGAGCTTCAGCACCAGCTCGACACAAGCGGGCTCGAGCTGGACTGGGCATGGTCCGGGAAGACATCTCCTGGTGGCACTAGCGGTGGGGGGACTGAGGACGTGTTCTGGCCGGATTCGACAGCATGAGGACTTTGCGATTGGCTATGTGTCCGAGATGATGGCTGCCGGCCACTGGAGCATGAAGCCTGCCAACAATTGGTGAGGCGCAGCAATCCACGTGGCGATCACCCACTCGAATTGCTCGGCCGTCAACATCGAGACCTTAGCGGAGAAAGACAAGATGACGCGGGTCGCGCCGTCGACCGTCGACGGTCGCTTAGCACACGCCTGCCCTCCCCAAAGTTTTTGCTGACAACTTGTACAGGGAAGTTCGGTTCAACAGTTTGTCACGCGCCTCGTTTAGGACCACAAATATCCTACTGGGTCCCAGAGGCTACGACGCGTGACTGCAATTCTGTCGGGGTTGCCCGAACCCTGTTTCACGTGTGGCCAGCAGGGCCATATAACTATGCTCGCTCCCTGACCGTTGGCCTAAGGGAGCTTCATCGCCAAAGGGCTCACCATCTTCATCGTTGAGCTTGGCTGAGGAGCAAGACCCATGGCGCATTCACTCCGCCGTCTTTCCGTATGAGGTCACCATTAATGCCAACGAGCGATCTTGCAATGCCATGCGGCCAACATGGCGACAGGTGAGCTTCTTTCTTCGGATGGAGGAGCTGAAGACAGACCACCGCTGCTTGAATGTAGGATGATGCGTTTCCTGCTCATCGGGGATCGACAAGAACTTTTTTTGTAGGCCACATCCATGCCTCTCGCAGCTGGTGGAACCTGGAGCCTCATCCAGCGCCAGTCGACGAGTGAAGGGATGCAACACCGAATCAGCGTTCCCGTCAGAAAAGCCCGCTGAGAAACGATCAGTGTCCCCGATGATGAGGTCCGAGTGTACTGCTTTTGCCATGCATGAGATTGGGATCTGTTCGGTTGAAGTCATTGCGCCATGAGGGTCTGAGCCAAGAAGCCAAGCAGGATCTAATTTGCACGCTCGAACAAGGTGCATCTCACGAAGTCGTGGCAGCAGCATGCACGCAAAAGAAGGCATCAAAAGAGATCCCCGTCACCGGAAATCCACCGGCGATCCAAGACTAGACGACAGGGTGGCCCGAAAGCAAGTAGGCGGAAGAGAACAAATAGAAGGGAAGAAAAGCGAAGTAACAGAAGATGAATGAGCACTAAAGAAATGAAGAGATGATATATGATGATTCAAAACATTAAGATGAAACAAAATGAGATGATGATGAGATGACACAATATATAATATATATATATATCTATATATATATATACATTATGATTATGATACTATTATCACGTTATTACCAAATCTATTAATGTATATTCTGTTGCACTGTACTTCGGAGCCCAAACGGTAGTCCCGGTCGATTCTTTTTTATCCAGCGCCGGTCGAGCTCAAACGCTAGTCCCGGTAGTAAGAGCCGCCGAAGTGTGCGAAATCGCACGTCCCAACCTGGCATCAGGACAACCAATGCTCATACAAATGCAACACTTGAAAAACAAAACAAATTACCCACAGTTCAACTCATGTTGTTTTGTCGGTTATCAGATATAGTTGCACACCCAGTCGGAACAGGATCGACTTCGAACAACTCTCGGTCGTGGATCTCGTGCCTTGTGGAGTCTCTGCACGTTCAGCTGGAACAAGGGTCGACTTCGGACAACTTCCGGTCGTGGACCCAGGTCCTTCTAATCAGTTTGGTCACGACACTTTGCAATAGCCAATTCACAGCTTTTCGCCGATACTTGTAACTTCGTGGCTGGTGACTATATGTGGCATCGACATGCCGGCCTCCTGGAATTCCATTGCGTGGTGTCCACTTTCATTTGGTCCCACTTGTTGCCGCTCAACCTGTTCAAAAGACTCAATGTCTCTGGAAACGAAACTGGTCTTTCAGGTCAAATCACAACAAGCAAAGAATATCATTCAAGTCCAACAATCGAACAAAAAAAGATGTCTATAGAGCTCTGTTTGCACAATTTTATCGGTTATCAGGTATATTCGCGCACCCAGTCGGAACAGGATCGACTTCGAACAACTCTCGGTCGTGGATCCCGTTCCTCATGGGGTCTCTGCACATTCAGTCGGAACAAGGGCCGACTTCGAACAACTTCCGGTCGTGGACCCAGGTCCTTCTAGCCAGTTTGGCCACGAATTCACAGCTTTTTGTCGACACTTTGGTCACGACGTTTCAAATTCCCAACGCCAGGCATGCTTGTGATGCTCCAAGGATCGCAGTGCATACAAGACATATGCTCGTCGCTTCCACGGTCTCAGGCTTGGACGCTGCTGGAGCACACAGTCAATGGCATCCTCGACACTGAGATCCCACCAGATCACCAGCCAGGCGCAAAGCGCGGCGGTACTGCGATTGATGCCTCCAAAGCAATGAAACAAAGGCGTAAGCTGATGATGATGATGATGATGGTGCTGACGACGATGATGATGATAATGATGATGATGATGATGATGTGGATGATAAGGATGATGATGATGATGCTGATGATGATGATGAAGGTGATGATGATGATGATGATGATAATGATGATGATGGTGCATGTCGCCAGGCACGGTTTACACCACACGTTGTTTACGCCAGACGAAGTAACCATGGAAAAGTTTACACCAGACAAAGCCGACAAAGGTTTACACCAGAGAAGAGTTTACACCAGACATCGATTACACCAGACACCGTCTATACACCAGACACGGTTTACACCAGACGTCGTTTACACCAGACAAGGCCAACAAAGGTTTACACCAGAAAGAGTTTACAGCAGAGACAGTTTACACC